TTAAGCTGATGGTCCTTCTTGATCATGTGAGCAGCTGGTTTTGGTTGTCAGCAGCAAACTGGTTGATCCACTCTGAGAAGGTGCTGTTTATAAGACTGAGCTGAATACAGCACCTCAAACTGAGGAATTCTTTCGGATGAAAAACTAAACGTTTCTACAAAACATTTTTTTTTTGTATGTCCAGAAGACCAGATTTAACTTTTTAGACTCAACATCAATGGTATGCATGGCAGGGTTTAAGGAGAGAGACACCTGTCTCCAACAAGAACATGGCTGCTCGTCTGCAGTTTACTAAAGATCACGTGGACAAGCCAGAAGGCTGGTGGAAGAATGTTTTGTGGACAGATGAGACCAAAATATAAAATTTTGGTTTAAATGAAAAGTGTTCTGTTTGGAGAAAGGAAAACTCTGCATTCATGCATAAGAATCTTATCCCATCTGTGAAACATGGTGGTGGTAGTATCATGGTTTGAGCCTGTTTTGCTGCATCTTGGCCAGGATGGCTTGCCATCACTGATGGAACAATGAATTCTGAATTATATCAGAATTCTAAAGGAAAATGTCATAACATCTGTCCATGAACTGAATCTCAAGAAGAGGTGGGTCATGCAGCAAGACAATGACCCTCAGCACACAAGTGGTTCTACCAAAGAAGAATAAAGTTCATGTTTTGGAATGGCCAGGTCCAAGTCCTGACCTTAATCCAATCCAAATGTTGTGGAAGGACCTGAAGCTGCAGTTAATGTGAGGAAACCACCAACATCCAGAGCTGAAACTGTTCTGTACGGAGGAATGGACTAAAATTCCTCCAAGCAGGTGAGCAGGACTGATCAACAGTTACCAGAAACATTTAAATGTTGTTAATGCTGCATGGGGGGTGGGGGGGGGCAGGGTCACACCAGATACTGAAAGCAAAGGTTCACATACTTTTGCAACTCACAAATATGTAACATTGGATCATTTTCCGTAATAAGTAAATGACAAAGTATAATATTTTTGTCTAATTTGTTTAGCTGGGTTCTAGTATCTACTTTTAGCACTTGTGTGAAAATCAGATGATGTTTTAGATCATATCTATACAGAAATATAGAAAATTACAAAGGCTTCACAAATTTTCAAGGGCCACTGTGTGTGTCTCAATGAACGTTGCTTCAACTTCAGTCTTTAAAAATACAGTTCAATACAAAAACAACTGGACTTTATTTGTAACCAAAGACGGTTCGCTCCTCATCCGAGGAACTTTCTCAATTCAAAGAGCAATAAATGAGAGGTTCAGGTTAAGGCTGAAATAAGAAACGCATACATATGTAGCTTGACAAATCACACCTCACACCTTAACAGTACGGGTTTCTTAAGGTCTTTGTTAATCTAATTCACAAATGAGGCCCCTCTGTTCCCTCCTCGGATGAGGAGCGAAACGTCTTCTGTTACAAATAAAGTCCAGTTGTTTTTGTATTGAACATTTTCTGAATTTATCATGTCCTGGATGACTGAGAGCATATCAACTTCATCCATCCATCCATCCATCCATCCATCCATCCATCCATCCATCCATCTATTATCTTTACCTGCTTATTCCATTTTGGGTCACGGGGGTCGCTGGTGCCCATGTCCAGCAATCACTGTGCGAGGGGCGGGTACATCCTGGACGGGTCTCCAGTCCATCACAGGGCCACATAGAGACAAACGAGACAAACAACCATTCACTCTCTCACTCACACCTAGGGACAATTTAGAGTTACCAATCAGCCTAACATGCATGTTTTTGGTCTGTGGGAGGAAACCGGTGCACCCGGAGAAAACTCACACATGCACGGAGAGAACATGCAAACTCCACCCAGAAAGGCCCCTGGACCGGGGTTTGAACCAAGGACCTGCTCGCTGAGAGGCAGCAGCTCTACCAGTTGCGCCACCGTGCTGCCCATATCAACTTCAGACATATTAAATAATTTTGGAAACAAATAAATTCAGAATATTCATATCACAAGAAAAGTAACTACAACTTTGTTTCACTTCCACAGCAGCTCAAATTGCTCTAATAGCAATTTAAGTTTTTCCCTAAAACTGGACCCAGAAACCCTTAAACTTTATTTTTCCCCTCAGTGAAACAATGCTTTGCAGCTTGAAGACATTTGTTTTCGTGCTCATACCCTTGGTGTTGGCCGTCTG